GTTGTTACAGCAATGACTCCTGTCCCATTTCCCTATCATACCTGGTTTTAAAATTATGAATAGAGTTTGCTTCCACAACCTGCTCCCCAAGTGCATTCCATTTTTCCACTACTCTCACGCTAAAAGAAAAACTTCCAAACATTTCTGTGACTCATCTGAGTTTCCACCCATGTTCCCTCGTTCTGTTACAATTCCGTGTGAACATTTCATCTCTCTCCACTTTGTCAATTCCCCTGAGTATTTTATATGTCCCTATCATATCTCCTCTCTCCCTTCTTTTCTCTAGTGTCGTAAAGTTCAGTTCCTTCAGACGCTCTTCATATCCCATCCCTCGTAACTCTGGGACAAGCCTTGTCGCAAACCTCTGAACCTTCTCCAGTTTCCTTATGTGTTTCTTCAGGTGGGGGCTCCATGATGGCGCGGCATACTCTAAGACTGGTCTCATGTAGGCAGTGTAAAGCGCCGTAAAAGCCTCCTCGCTTAGGTTTCTGAATGAAATTCTAATTTTCGCCAGTGTAGAGTACGCTGCTGTCGTTATCCTATTTATATGTGCCTCAGGAGTTAGATTAGGTGTTACGTCCACTCCCAGGTCTCTTTCTCGAATCGTTACAGGTAGGCAGTTCCCCTTCATTGTGTACTGTCCTTTTGGTCTCCTATCACCTGATCCCATTTCCATAACTTTACATTTACTCGTGTTGAACTCCAGTAGCCATTTCTCTGACCATCTCTGCAACCTGTCCAGGTCCTCTTGGAGGATTCTACAATCCTCATCTGTCACAACTCTTCTCATTTATTTTGCGTCATCCGCAAACATTGACATGTAGGATTCCACTCCTGTAAACATATCATTTACGTAAATTAGGAAGAGGATTGGGCCCAGCACCGATCTTTGAGGTACTCCACTTGTTACTGTTCGCCAGTCCGACTTCTCGCCCCTTACCATTACCCTCTGGCTCCTTCCTGTTAGGTAGTTCTTCACCCATACTAGGGCCTTTCCGCTTACTCCTGCCTGCCTCTCAAGTTTGTATAGCAGTCTCATGTGCGGTACTGTATCAAAGGCCTTTTGGCAGTCAAGAAATATGCAGTCTGCCCAGCCTTCTCTGTCCTGTCTTATCCTTGTTACTTTATCATAGAATTCTAAAAGTTTGTTAGGCATGATTTCCCTGTCCAGAACCCATGTTGGTGCTTGTTTACAAACCCAATGCTCTCCAGGTGTTCAACAAGTCTTAG